ATTGATTGCCACCTAATAATCAATCAATTGTAAATATATGTGAGACGGATAGCTCAGAGTTTACATTTCTGACTGTGAATTTGAGTGACACAGGATTGAATCCTTCAGAGAGTATCAGTTCCTTCAAGATTACAGGTATACCTTGATGACGGGTGCCGAAATAGCACGAAACCCGGATTCATGGTTTCCTGTTGAATACCTTCAACCACCATCTTATGTATTTCATTCAAATATTTGAAGCAAATGTTTATTTTCTGGATAGAAAAGTTTAATACTAAAAGATGAATGAATGTAATAGTGTAGTTTAAAAGGTAAATTTAATGACTAGTTTACATCAATCATTGTTTGAGTAGTGACATATCAAAATGTATTCGCTACATGTTTGTTTGTGTTTTATTTACTGTCACAGCATACAAATAAAGAATATGGATTTGATGCATATCTTAGATGAGGAGTGATGGCTTAATGAATAAGTCATTTAAGTTTCAGTTATCAAGTTACAGTTTCGATCTTACTTACTTACTTACGCCTGTTACTCCCAATGCAGCATAGGCTGCCAACCAATATTCTCCTCCTGGAGCACTTCTTGGGCTATTGCCAGTTCCAAGCTCTGATAATTGAGGAGAGTTGGATACGAGGTTAGCGACCCCATCCTGTAGGAAACTAACTCGCTAAAACAAAACGATAACCAGTTTCGATCTAATCTCCATTTATATCATTTTGGTTAATGTCACTAGTTTCTTTGGACTTTAAGTATGATTCATAGTTAAGTACACGGAAAGTTGTATCTGATAAGTGAGTAAATAGAAATGCTTTTAGAGAAATAAAATTGTTTTTTAGATCATTTAGATGAATACATTAACTTTCTTTTTCGATTATTTACAGATTATTGTTATCGTTTTGGGGATATTTCACCTTGATTAAAGTAATTAAAATTAATTGCTACTTTTTTCAAGACTTATCAGATTCTAGTATCAGAAGGGGTTTTAAGGAGATTGTAGTAATTTCAGTAGTTGAGATCATGAGTCAACTGAAGTTAGACCAAAATGAAAAACCTAGAAGCACTGAATGGCTAACTCGTCCTATTGTCGAACTTCTCAACAGTGCGCATCCATCATCCCACCTCGCTAGATTCGAACCCAGGACCTATCAGTCTCGCACGTGAGAGCTTAACCACTAGACCACTGACCCGTTACTTTTTTAAAAAGATAGTTTAACTTACAGAGAACGACTAAGTACCAGATCAGAAGTTTCTTAGTGAGTATGTTACCTTTACACTATCAGGATATACAATGCTACAAATAGAAAACAAACTTTTTACTGCTCTTTGGTCATCACTGCTTGTAAAGTTGATGTCTTTGATAAATACAATTCTTATATGAGATCATGCATATATTAAGCAACAAGTTTTTTTTCATTTCTTTTGGTAATTCGATAGGTAATGAGTAACTGATTGTAACCATGTGAACAATATGAATAACACTAAAGAGTTTGAAAGTATTTACAATTCACTTGTATTGGATTTTATGCTATTTTCAATGTCAAAACACATGTCTTATTGAGTTAGTTTACTATTGAGAAAAATCACTGAAGACAACCACACAAATAAACAAAATGTTTCAGTTATCTCAGTGTTAACTGTTTACTTATTATTTGACTGTATGGTAGCACGCAGGGAAGATGGCTGGGAAGCCAACTCCCTGCGCGTCATTTTTGCTCTGTTCTATTACATTCACTTTACATACAAAATATATGTATTCAAAATCCCATTCTCGTTATTTGGCTTATCTAAATTCCGTTATTGACTAACGTGATTTAAGTCGACGATAATATACGAGAATAGGCGACAACAAACATTCGTACGCTCTAAATGGAGACAGCATCAACGGCCACAAAAGTGGTGAGCCCGACGTGAGAACGGGAAGCGAATTTTGACGAAATAATCAAATTCCAAAAATCCGACTACCTTCATCTCAATTTGGATTATCAAATGAACTATAATTACAACTGTGGATTTATATTATTATTTTAATTACACTTACATTATTTCGCAAACATTATTAAACGTGACGATTATAATCATAATAAGCAACAATTATCCATAAACTATTGGTATATTGGTGCAATTTAGTAAGTCTGTTCCATTTTATAAATTGTGCCATTTTTTTATTATCATTGTTTTTGCTCGTCTATTCTTCCTTATGACTGTTAAATTATTTTCGTGTGCTACTTAATTTTTATAAGTATGTCTTATGAAAACACAGTTTCAAGCGTACAGCAAGCCTTGTCCGTGAGGTCTCTTAACCTTTCTGCCCCTTCTTTTAAAATCACAGACCCAAAACTTTGGTTTATAAGACTTGAAAATTATATTCTCGTTAACCGCATTCTTTTGCAAAAGGATAAGTTCGGCTTGACAAGCACACTACTCCCAGACGAAGTAGCTGACAGCGTTCGATAGGCACTAGCAAAACCAGACACAGAAAAACCATACGACATGCTAAAAGAGGCAGTAATTAAAACTCTCTCTCTCAGTGACCAACAAGCCGTCAAACAACTCCTTAGCCAAGTACAAATTGGAGATAGAACCCCATCACAGCTAAAAAAAATTATATGAAAAGTCGTATTATCTTATCGATACATTGTAATCATGCCAACTCTCCTTTTATTCAAGTGTTACTCAATATTTATAGCCAGACAAAGTAAAGCTACAGACATGTGATTAATGGGATAAGAAGGGCACACATATATACGCTCATATAAAAACGGTCTAGATTGATAAGCGAATAAATAACAAGGTCAGTGTATGACTCAAGTAGAATGAATAAAATGGGATATCCGAAAGCTAGAATAAGGTATATGGGATGGCATAATAACTGACACTACACATCTACTCAGGACATGAATCCAAATGGTTAAAACAATAACCAGGCTATCATAGCATAATTAATTTGATCTAGCAAACCAGATCTCAGTGGGGTAAGAAATCAGGAATAAGCGCTAGAAATGGATAAGACACACATTGAGGAAAGCACTCGACTGTGCCACAAGGCAAAACGCTCACATGGATTCCTCAACGCCAAAGAAGAAATAAAAGACGAAAGAAAACATTACGCCGACAAATGGAAACCAACATGAGAAGAATAAACAACAATTGGAAAGAACTAGAAAGGAAGGCTGAGAACAGTGTGAGTTGGAGAATGCTGGTCGATGGCCTATGCTCCATTTGGGAGTAACAGGCATAAGTAATTAATTAATAGGATGAAACAGAAAAAAGGTTCTATTGAAACCCTTCTTGAATAAATGATTAAGTAATTAAAAAGGATAAAGATTTTGTTGTTTTCGGTACGAATGTCTAAAGGTTACTAAATGGTTGAATATTTAAATCATGTTTCGCATGACATAAGGTGTCAGCTATCACATTTTATATTATTAATTACTGTATCATTAATTATGTATGTAGGCTCTGACTGGAAAAAAACTTGCCTGTCTAATATTTTTATAATCGTCTATTCTTCAAGTCATACATAATTTTGTTAAACATTGCTCATTGCGATTATGAAAATGGTTCATTCAAAGGAAAATCACAAAAATATATCATTAGTATACTTATGAATATCAACGTTCAAATAAAATGTACTTGAATATGAGAAGGTTGAGAAGATTTGTAACTCAAGTGGATGATTTTGATGGAGTTTTGTTCTGTAAGCTGGATGGTTTGATTGTGAAACTTTCATCGTTTGTGCTGATGATGTTGTTCCGCAGACTGATGAAAGCTTCAAAACCAAATCATCCAGCTTAGTGTACTTGAATGTTGTTCCTATCACTATCTACCTCATTTTATATGTTACTTTATGTGATGAAAGGTGAACTAGGTTTGTAACATTATAAGCTGAAACTAAAAAAACAATTTATTTCTACGATTCAATACATATATTTATCTGATTCATAGCTTTGTCTAAATTCAATGTGTTTTGTGTAAAAAATGTAACCCTCTGGAAGTTGAAATCTTTCCAACGCCGTAGAATATTTGTGTGCTATAAAGGAAATGACAACTATTTACAAACATTCATTTAAACGCTAGTCAAATGGTGAAAGACATCAGAAAAACGAACAACAATTGGATGGAACTAATAAGGAAGGCCTATGACAGAGTGGATTGGAGAAAAATAGTCGGTGGCTTATGATCCCTGGTGAGTAACAGGCATAAGTAAATAACTAATATTCTCCATAGTCAAACGACTTATTAAAATACGAAACAGTCAATATATCACTTCGTTCGGCGGCCTGCTTGATCATCTGGGCTACCTGTTCCTGTCATCTAGATATTTCAACAAGTTATCTATTTTTGTTTGTTTTAATATATCATTATGTTTATTAATCGCACAACCTATTCTGCTGCGTTTCTGAAAAGTGTACAACCTTTCGTTGTCAAAGTTACAAACAACTCAATAAGGGACAATGTGGTTGCTGGCAATATACAACGGAAAGAATGCACATTATTCAGATGTTCATTTAGTGAACTGCTGACATCTAACTGGCGATCACTCACTATTTATCGCCAGGACCGACCAAGAAGAAAGAAACGGAAACTTGTTGAAATACTTTACGCTGAGAATTCTATATTGTACCAAAAATATAATATTGAATAAAGCTGATAATAATAATAAAAAAAGTATTACTCAATATATAACGTAAACAATTAATCTTGTTACATAACAAAACTATGTAACAATTCAATTATTATCAGAAGGGGCTTTGTGTAGATTGTAGTAATTTAAACAGTTGAGATCATGAGTTAATTGAAGCTAGACCTGGAAGCACCAGATGGCCGTTTCGTCCTATTGTGGGACTCCTCAACAGTGTGCATCAACGACCCCGCCTCGCGAGGTCGTACACAATCGAACCTCAATATATATGATTCTGATCAATTTATATTATATCATATCTTTTAGATAAAACTGAATAATAAAAACAAACATAAAATACAAACATTAACTTACTTATTCAATCAAATATTATTTTAGGTACTGTCCTTTCAAATAATAAATAAACTAAAGACATTCTTATTCACTATATATGTAATGACAAAGTTCCATTAAACGAGATTATCTTTGGTTAGTAAAATGGTTTGGTTCAAATAAACTATCCAATTCATTGATTTAATTAATAATGAAAATGTTTGTTTTTGTTTGTTTGTTAAAACCTTTTTTTTGAGGAGATTTTATTCAAGTTTTTTTTCTTGGTTTTGTTTTGTTTTGTTTTTCTTCTTTTTGAGTAACATCATCTTAAATGTTGGCAAGTATTTATCTGATTCATAGAATACCAATGAAACGATTGTAATATTTGATTATAGGCAATTTTAATTGACCAATCATATGATAGATTTAAATTAGGCGGATAACTTGGTTTCAAAACATTGACCAATCAGATGTGAGCTTTTAGATATTCATTAACCAATCAGGTTTTTCTTCATATTTATGAAGTATAACATTACAAACAAGTTTGTTATGTCCCCCCCCCCAAAAAAAAGAGTGTCTGAATGTTAAATGAAGCATGAATAAAACACATTATTTCTATTAAAGTTTAAAGTGAACAGTTTTATCAAACATAATTAAAGAATTTCTTTTGAAAGTAAAGATGGATAATGAGTAGTAGTGGAATTAAGGACACACTTTTCATCCTATTTGAGACTGGTCAGTTGGATGTGTCCACATCTCAGAGTTCGTGTTCACTCTGAGACGTGATGACGTTTGAAATAACCGGTGCTGAGTTTCAGTCCAAGAATGAACATCCAATTTGAGATACAAGTACATCCAACTGAGTAGTCCCAAATAGGACGAACATGCGCGTCCTGGATTCTACTGTTAGCCATTATCCATCTTTGCTTATAATGCTTATGAATTCAGGCAATATCGATGCAATACACACAGTATGCACATATGTCAATAAGAGACATTAATTACTGTCCTAAACAACAATGGGACGATTCAAGCAAACAATACCAAGTGAATTTCTTTTGAAGTTCCTGTTGGGATTGAACATTCTTTTGCTCTCAGAAAATTTGTAATCATTGAAATTAAAACGAAATTATTATTTTGATTCATATTAATTTACTTTGTAACATGGATGAAATGAAAATACAGACCTAGTTATTTTGATTTTGAGAAGGTCAAGTAATTCTTATTTTTGGAATGGAGGTTTATGGAGATTGTAGTAAATTTACTAATTGAATTCATGAGTCGATTAAAGCTAGATCATTATGGAAATTAGGAAAAGACACTGAGGTTGGATAGAAAAAACGTTATGTAAATCACCAAACTGTATCACTAAGCAAGCACTAACTTGGAATCTTGAATGAAAACTTAAAAGAGGAACTCCGAATAATAAACCGCGTTGGGAATTAGGAGCAGACATGAATAGGATCAATAGTGACTGGGAAAAGTTGTAAAGGATAGCGCAGGACAGAGTTGGATGGAGACTGATGATGGTTGGCCTATGCTCGTCCATGAGGAGTAACAGGCGTAACTAAGTAAGTAAAAATACAAGACATTACTAATAGTGGGAAGATGTACATACACCTACAATAATTGTAATTCAAACACCATTACCGACGTTTACCAGGTAATTTCAAATAAATTAAGCGTTAGATAGACTGTTAAAATCAAAATAGTCAAGATAGAAAGGATGTTCTAACTATCTATATCAACTTCTACAATAAAATGTTAAAAATTGTATTTAACTTGGCTTGTTTCTCATACTGTAAACATCAACATGTTTAAACTTATCCTTTCATATTACAAATGTCACATATTTTTACATTCATTAGCGTATACACAAATACCATAATATGTCATATATTGAATCATTCAAACCGGACTGATATAATATCCACATGATTCAATTTATTTTGTTTGATACTTATATACTACTTAAACTTGTGTTAATTTAACTTGAATAAGTAACTTGTACTAAGTTGTGAAACATTCAAAATTAACTTTCTACCTAACAGAGTTTTTACAAAAATATAACATTAACATTCCACAAGCAAATGTCTTTCAGGACTTAATAGCTAAATGGATAACGTCATGGCGTTTGGAGCGAACGATACCCTGGGTTCGAGACCTGGAGTGAACATCAACTCAGACACACGTACATCCAGTTGATAAGTCACAAATAGGACGAAGACGCGCGTCCTGGATTCCATCGCTAACCACTATTCATCTTTATTTATAATGCTTATAACTTAAGGCAATATCGAAGCAGTTCACATAGGATGCACATATGCCAATAAGAGATTGATGATCATTTGCAGTCCTAAACAACAATGGGAAACAAAGATATATTAGAAAGTTCGACTATAAAAGTAAACAAAAATCTTAAATATATGTTAAGTTATAAAGCTTTTATATTTGCTGATGAATCTCCCCTATATCTCCATATAAGTTTACGATTGGATGATCACAATGATGAAGTGGTTTATTAATTGGATTATTATCAGATCTACCGTCATTAATTAATTAATTAATTATTTTAAGAGGGGGGGGGGTGATATTATTAGATTTTTATGATTAATTGTGAACACCTTCATTTTGACGTTGCAAAACAATGATATACTTTACTCATTCTAATATAGAGATGGGTACAAATTGAAGGGCTACATCAAATTCACAAATATATCAAATAGTTTTGAACAATTATTAAAGGTGTTATATTTAATGTAGACAAGAAAAGTAATTATTCGATACAAAAGAGTTTCTGTTTATATTCCATGAAAAATGCCAAAGGCATTTTGGTCTTCATGCTTTAAGAATTTGATAATAATATGATTAACGTTGGGTTTTAGTGAGTTAGTTTACTACTGGATGGGGACGCTAATCCCATATCCAATCTACCTTCTTTATCCGAGCTTGGGATTGGCAGTAGTTTGAGGAGGAGGGGGGCTCCAGACGGAGTTCATATTATATAGATTTATACAATAAACATAAATCTTCTGGTAGAAATAAAGAGATATATTTATCTCATTAAGAAAACTAAATAATAGTCAATAATGTTCATCACGTAAACTGTGATAAAAAGTTCCAACACTTAGTACTCTACTGTCATTATTAACTGATTTATGAAGTTTAAAACAGCCTTAGGATATTTTATAATTTATTATTAATTCTATATATATTGTCCATGAATGAAATGTAAATTACATGCTGTGTTTGTTTAGTCTAAGATAATCATATTTCACCCAAAAAACTGTTTTCTCCTTCTATCGAAACTAATAGACTTTATGGATAAACCAATCAAATTGAGGAATAATAAGATCTTTTGGATGCCAGCTCAGTGGTCCAGTAGGTTAAACGTTCGAGCGGGAGACTGAAGGCCCTGTGTTCGAATCCCACGAGTGGGATCGTAAATGCGCACTGCTGAGGTGTCCCACAATAGGACGAAATGGGCGTCCAGTGCTTCAAAGTATTTCAATGGTGGTCTCACATCAATCGGTTCATGATCTCAGTCAAAAAGATCTTTTGAATTTCGATGTAAAATTCTTTATCCATTTAGTTAAAGAGCATTTTAAGATTTTAGCCTAATGTCAATTCTTGATAATAAAAAAACTGTAAATTTAATTTATCCCCCCCCCCTATCAATCACTCCACCCTAGTCAGTAGGCGAACATTCTCAAGGCCACTTGAGTGTCGTTCAAAGGTCGTTCATAAATTATTGTCTCATCCTCATTCTTCTCACTAGTACTTTATCATAGTATAGAAACTCTGAAAAAATCTATTTTATCACACATTAGAATATATTCTATAAATGGTTGAAGTTAGACATTAACACCGTTAGATGCGGGCCGGCTCAGTAGTGTAGTTTGTTAAGCGCCTGGCGAGAGACTGATAGGTCCTGGGTTCGAATCTCGCGGGGGGCGGGATTGTGGAAGCGCACTTCTGAGGAGTCTCATACTAGGGTGAAGCGACCGTCCAGTGCTTCCAGGTTTTCCATGGTGGTCTAGCTTCAATTGACTCATGATTTCAACCAGTATAATAAAATTGTTAGACAGATTCAGAAAGAATACTCAGAATGAAAATTTCAGATTATCAATAATCTGTTGCAGAAATATTTTTCTGAATGATAATTACTAAGACACATTATTCTGATGTTCATCGTTGATTGTTTTCAACTTTCTAATTTTAGGCATTATCAATGATAATGTTAAGACATATAAATAAATGAATTTGTATAAACATCATCGAATAACTAGTACAGAAGTTGTGGAGATTATTAAGTTTTTGATTGAGATCATGAAGTGATTGATGTTAGACCACCGCTGGAAACCTGGAAGCACTGGACGGCCCTTTCGTCCCATTGTGGAACTCCTCAGCAGTGCGCATCCACGATCTCGCTCGCGGGATTTGAACCCAGGGCCTTTGATCTCGCGAGCAAACGCTCAACCTACTGGACCACTGGGCCGGCATCCACAATTGAATAAACTCAGCATATGCACATTAGACATAACGGTTCATGATTTCCAACAATTTTATATGAGAAGGGCATTTGTAGATATTATAGTAATTTTAGTAGTTGAATTCATGAGTCAATTGAAGCTGGAGCACCATAGCAGGATCGTGGATGCGCACTGCCCCTGAGGAGACCCATACTAGGACGAAACAGCCGTCCAGTGCTTCCATGTTTTTCATGGTAGTCTAGCTTCAATTGACTCATGATTTCAACTATTAAAAATTTTATATGATGTTACGATTGTGATAAAATGTCATACTACTTTAAAACATGGAAATATTACGATGAAATCTAAAATTTACCATTCCATTTCTAAAAGTTATATTAAAATCTTCATATTTTGGCTATTCTTTGAACGTTTAACATTTTTATAAACTGTAATAGATAAATTACCATATTGAAATACTGTAATATAGATTATTTTTGTAAGAAGATGGGTTCGTCCATTATCTCAAGGAAATGTGGATATGAACTATACTTATTTATTTATTTGAACACATAAATATTGGTACAAAGGGGCACCGATTACATGTGTGCTACACAACTCACTTGATTTGTGTTTGGGCTGTGATACTACGCAGGTGCCCACACCAAAGCAGGTGGTTTTCGTAGGGAGCCACAACTGGAGCCTCCGACCTAAATGTTTGATCTACAAGGCAGTGGAACAACGTCAGAAGATGGAGTCCCGTGGACTCTCCGCCAATGTTATTCGTATCATTGATATAAGTTCAATTGCTTTTAAAGTTAGGTTCAAAATGTTTTTGCTAATCATCTCCAACCACCAACCTTTAGTAAAACTGTTTTCAAAAGTCGAATCATTTGA